GGCTGCAGCTGTGGCGGCGCGGCGTGGAGGAGGCGGCCGAGGAGCGCCTGGGCCGCCGGCCCGCCGCGGGCGCCGAGGGCCTCTCGGAGGCCGAGCGCACCTTTCTGCACATGGGCCGCACCATGAAGGAGGACCTGGAGGCCGTGGTGGAGCGACTGAAGCCGCTGTTCCCCGCCGAGCTGGACGTGGTGGCCGCCTACGCGGAGAGCTACCACCGGCACTTCGCGGCCCAGCTGGCGGCCATGGCGCAGTTCGAGCTGTGCGAGCGCGACACCTACATGCTGCTGGTCTGGGTGCAGAACCTCTACCCCAAGTGAGTGAGGAGGCCGCGCTGGGAGCGGTGCTCGGGGAGTCTCTGCCGTCTGTCTGGCCCCAGAGACTCAAAGGAGCAGGGCCCGCGCTGCTTTGCACTCGAAACCCTTCGTTTCCTGGCTTCGGCCACCTTCCACAGCTGGGGAAACTGAGCCGCCGAGAACGGCAGGGACTTCGTCATTCGTTCCTGAGCTCCCATCCTGAAGAGGGGGCCAGGTGGTGACCATCCGGGGCAGGGAGGGCGGTGGCAGAGGAGACCAGGGACCGTGGGAACCAGGAGCAGCAGGGGCCCTGACCAGCCTGAGTCACTTGAGGAAACCGTCCAGGAGGTGGTGGAGGAGGAGGAAGAGGAGGGAAGGGAGGGGGAACCAAATTCTGCCCGTGGCCGGAAGTAAGAGAGGCAGGCAGGGGAGGGGACACGGCAGGCCTGGAAGAAACTGGAGAACGATGTCCCCGCAAAAGGAGTCACCTTCCACCGCCCAGAGGCTGAGCCCTGACACGTTCTGGCAGCTGTGCAGAGCTTGCCAGTGTTTGGATTTACCCTGCAGGCTATGGGGCACTCCCAGGGGTGCAGCAGGGCTGTGTGGCCGTCGAGCCGGGTCACCCCGTGAGCCCACTGCAGAGCTGGGTTCTGGCCACTGAGGCCCAGGGCTCCCTGGGTGGGAGGCTGGCTCTGCTAACAGAGTGCCTCCGGGTGTCTCGGGTCTCCTCTGATTGACCCAGACTCCGCGGGGCCCTGAGCGCGTCTGTCATTTGTACAAGCAGGGTGAGGAAAGACTGGCAGCGCCGTGTGGAAAGGTCCAGGGCACGGAATGCCGGGGGCTCCTATGGGGGCTGACCCTGGTGTCCAGTGTGAAGCCTGCAGGAAGCCTGGAGGTATAGACAGCGTGAGCAGTGTCTGAGGGTCTCGGAGATAAATCTGGGTGGCCAGGGGTCTCAGCTGGTGCTGGTGGGTCGGCCTCCAGCGGGGGGCGAGAGGAAGGGCCCTGCGGGGGCAGTGGTCGAGGCAGCAGGGTGCAGGGAGATTGGCGTAGGGCAGGAGCTGTGGGAGAGACAGGCCGGTCGTGAGCCAGTTTCTTCTTGCTTATCCTAACTCACCAGGAAACGCTGGGCACTTGCACCTCTCAGCCTTCCTGTCCCAGTGACCTCGGGGCTTTTGGCCTGGGGCCCACTGGGGTCAGCGCAGCAGGAAAGTGAGGCCAGCTGAGCGGAGCCGTGGGGAGAGGGAGTCTCAGGAGGTGCCGTCGGGGCCTTTGTGGCCAGAGTGGCCAGAATGCAGGGAGCAGAGGGACGCAGCCACATCCAGACAGGGGAGAGGGGCAAGTGTCCAGGCGGATAAAGGCCTCTGAGGAAGTGCCAGGGCTGGGCAGTCCCTGGGGACCCGGGGTCCCACACAGGCGCCACAGAATGAGTGGAGTAGCTGGGGTGGGGCAGCCCTTCCGGCCGGCACTGACCCACCCTCCGGGGGCAGCAGGGCCAACCTGGGGGTGGTGGAATAGGGCTGGCAGGATGCCTGAGGCCAGCAGTGAGGGGATGAGGTCGGGGCGAGGCCAAGAGCGAGTGGCTTGTCTCACAGCTGCCACCAAAGGAGCCGGGTTTTATCTGTATGAGACGGAGGCCTTGTGGCAGGGAGGAGGCCGGAGTTGGGTTCGAGAGGCAGTTCCGCCTGCCGGCTGGAGGAGGGATTGCTGGGGACGAGGGTGGGAGCCAGGAGGCTGGAGAGGAGGCCTCTGCCATGACCCCGGGGAGAGCTGGTAGAGGCCGGGCATCAGGAGGGCTTCTGACCTGAGCCAAACTGGGCAGACAGAGACGGAGAAGCAGGGATGGGGGAGGGCGATTGAGTTCTGGGCCCGCCAGGGACTGAGGCTGCGAAGGCGGGCTCTCGCTCGGGCAAGGCGCCGAGGGGGTGCAGGCTTCCTCATGCTAGCCCCCCTTTGCCTGCAGTGACATCATCAACAGTCCGAAGCTGGCCGGGGAGCTGCAGAGACTCAACCTTGGGAGCCTCCTGCCCCCCAGGCAGATCCGGCTGCTGGAGGCCACGTTCCTGTCCAATGAGATGGTGAGTCCAGCGCCAGGGCGGGGGCGGTGGTGGTGGGGGGGGCAGGAAGGAAGCTAGGGGAGGCTCGGAGACAGGACGCAGGCAAGGAGCTTGACAGGGACTCTTCCACGTGGGCAGGGTGATGGGCTGTGCTACCCTAACCTGCCTCTCCTCCCCGCAGACCAGTGTGAAGGAGTTGATGGCCCGTGCCCTGGAGCTAGAGTGTCAGCGCTGGGCCCGGGATGTGGCTCCCCAGAGGCTGGACAACCACTGCCACAGCGAGCTGGCCATTGACATCATCCAGGTAGCACAGCCGGCCCCTCGTGCTCTCGTACAGGCTGCGTGCGAGAAGCCGTGCACCGTGCGGGGCCCACACCCATGGAATCCCTGCGTGTGCGCACGCACGTGTCCACTCTAAGCACCACCCGCCCCTTGTTCCCGCATGTTCCCCGGTCCTGGTCCAGGTGGGCTCTTGCTCAGCTCTCCCCCTCACCCCTGCAGATCGTCTCCCAGGGCCAGGCCAAGGCCGAGAGCATCACCCTTGACCTGGGCACGCAGATAAAGCAGATGCTGCTCCTGGAGCTGGCCACATTCCTGAGGAGGTGGGTGTGCGGGGGGGGGGGGGGGGTAGTGTCTGCCTAGCCACTCCTCTCAGAGCCGTCTCTCCTCCCTTGTGGCCCAGGTGGGTATCCCTTTCCTGCCTCTGGGGTGTCTGTCACTATAAGCAGGAGTCCTTTGTGCCCCCACACCTCTCCTGGGACCCCTGAGTGCCTCAGGTGATCTGACCACCCACCCCCTCCCACTCAGCAAGAAGCTCTCAGCACTGCAGCCTCCAGCTGCAAAGACAACCCCCCCCCCCATGAGGCTGCTGGCTTCCCTTCTGGTGGCGCGCCGTGTCTCCAGCCCTGCATTTCTCTTGGCTGCTCCCTCCCCACCCCTAACCCCCCCTCTCCAGTCCTCCAGCTATAGAGGGATCTGGAGGGAGGAGTGGGGGCAGCGGGAGCCTTGACCCCACTGGCTTTAGCGTGTGAAGCCCGTTCCGTGATGCTCCGGGGCCAGCAGCCCCTCCCTGGACTGCAGGGAGCCTGTCAACCGGAAAAGCACTCTGTAGACCCAGGGAGGCTGCTGGGCTGGCCGGAGGCTGCTATTGTCCGGGTGTTTGTGCGGGTCCGGCATGTGCCCCTTCCGGTTTCAACAGCTACCAGCGAGCCTTTGATGAATTTCTGGAGAGAGGCAAGCAGCTGAGAAATTACAGGGCCAATGTCATTGCCAATATTAACAACTGCCTGTCCTTCCGGTAAGGGCGCTAGGAGGGGTTTGTGGGAGCGGGAATCACTGGGCCTGCCAGCCTATTGGAGGGAAGGGCAGCTGGAAGGGGGAGAGGAGGTGCGGGGTTCGGGAGGGGGTGGGGGGTGCAGCATAAGCGAAGATGTGGAATTCGAACGAGCATGGCCTGTGAGTTGATCGGGGTCTGTAGGGGCAGCGGCAGCAACGTTTATCGAGTGCTGGTGGGCCAGCACTCCTGCGGAGGATTTATTTCTTATTTTATTCTCATGACACCCTTGTGAAGTAGGCGCAGTGGTTACATCTGTGAAGCAGATGTGGGTTAAGAGCATGTGGTGCAGGTGTTTCCAGGGGCTGAGAAGGGCTGGGTGCTGCCTGGGGCGCAGAGATGGGTTGACTTGGACTTGCTTCCACAGGGAATGGGGAGTCACGGAAGGTTCTAAAGTGACAAGGTGGTTTAGGAAGATTTGCCGAGGGCATTGGGCTCTCTGGGTGTGGGGCTGTAGGTTGATCTCCCTGCCTCCATCCGTGTCCTTCCAGGACAGCCATGCAGCAGAAATGGCAGACACAAGACCTCCCCGGCCACCTGCTGGGCCCCTTGAGTGAGCTCGAGAGTCACGGCTTTGACGCCCTGCTCCAGAGCCTGTTCGGGGACCTGAAGGTAGAGGGAGATCCCCGCCCTGGGATGCACGCTGAGCTTAGCATTGGAGGGGGGGATGGAGGGGGCCCGGGAGGGGAGGAAGGGCAGAAGCCAGTGCCTGGCACTTGTGCGGCCAGCTGTTGAGGCCCGTGCTGCCCAGGCGATGGGGGCCATGGAGGGCTTTGACCTCGTCCCCACCACTTCAGCCCGGGCTTGGCCTCAGAGGGGTTGCCCAGGGCTGGGAGCTTTAGTGCCCCTTCCCACGTCAAGACCCCGTCCTGAGCCTGCACGCTTTTTCTGCACCTCCCCCAGACCCACCCGCCCATGCCGTGTCCCCATGCCCGACTCCCAGCTGTGATGCCCAGAGCCTTTGATGGCCACTGCCTCATCTGTTCTGGGCCAAAAAATACGCAGAAAGCCCTTGGCTCCCGTAGCAGAGGGCGAGGCAGGGGTCCCTGGAAATGAAGAGGAGGGTTCCCTGCCTGCTTTCTGTGGGAGCCCGCCTTGTCCCTGCTGCTCAGGACAGGCGGCCATGAGTGGCCAGCCAGTGGTGAAGGCCGGGCAGTGACCCTGGGTGACTTGGCACAGGTCTTTAGAGGCTCAGCCAAGCACAAACCCTTGTTTATGCAGGAATTTATTTATTTCAGAGGGGGCGGTGGAAAAGGCCCCAAGGCAGACAGATGGTTGTCCTGGCTCCAGAGCTGCAGCTGGTTGACCTTGGAGAAGGGTACACGGACCCTGTCTCCACTTCCCGTCTGTGAACGGGGACTTGAGTTCCCTGGGGGGTCCTCGAGACCCCCTTGCCCCTGCACTGGGCCCTGTGTGTCCGCGTGCGTGTGTCTGCGGCTGGTGGCCCTTCCTCTGGAGGGCGTGACCAGACATCCTGCCTCTCTCCTGTCACAGCCGCTGTTTAAGAGGTTTACACAGACCCGCTGGGCCGCCCCCGCGCAGACCCTGGAGGAAATCATCTCCACCGTGGGCGAGAGGCTGCCTGAGTTTTCGGAACTGCATGACTGTTTCCGGGAGGTGAGGAGGTGCCGGGCTGATGGCTGGGCCCGGCGGGGAGGGCCGGGAGGGACAGTCTGGACACACGCTATCGTGCACATACACACTCAGAAAACACACGCACACACACACATGCACACGTACCACTCTTTTGCTTGGCCTCTGCCCCTCCCCGGACTCCTGGCTTCAAGGCTTCGAGGGAAGGGGGTGAGCTCCCCAGCGGTGATGGCTCACGTGTCCCCGCCCGCTCGCCTCCCAGAAGCTCATGGAGGTTGTACACCTGCACCTGGTGAAGGAGTACATCGTCCGCCTCAGCAAGCGGAGCCTGGTCCTCAAGTCCGCGGAGCAGCAGCAGCAACTGGCGGGTCACATCCTGGCCAATGCCGAGCTCATCCAGCGTTTCTGCACTCAGAATGTAAGCTCCTGTCTACCCTTCCCAAGCGCCACTGGGATGGGCGGCCCCTCCCCCCAAGTCCCTTCAGGGCCAGGCACGACCCCAGGCCACTCCAAACCCGATCGGTTCTGACCTGAACTTCTCTGAGCCCTTGGGTGCCTTTTGGGGAAGGGGCAGCCTACCTCCAACCACACCTGTGCCTGCAGGGCTCCCCAGCGACCTGGCTGCATCACGCCCTCCCCAAGCTTGCCGAGATCATTCGCCTGCAAGACCCCAGTGCCATCAAGATCGAGGTGGCCACTTATGCGACCTGGTACCCTGACTTCAGGTGAGAAACAAGGGCGCCACGGGACCTGGGCAGTCAGCATGGCCCTGCTGGACCCGGTCGGAGCCTGGTAGGGCCGGAGTCGGTCCCTGCAGGGCTGGTAGAGCTCAGATACTGGCCTTGAGGATGCAGTCCCAGCAGTTAGCCTGTGCTGAGGGCTGACTGTGTGCCCGACGCTGCCAGGACCTTTACAGCAGTTCATGCGTCTGAAGCTCACTGACCACCTTATGATGCTGGTGAGGTCTGAGCTTAAGGAACTTGTCTAAGGTGACACAGCTGAAGCCAGGTAGTCTGGCTCCACAGTCCATGGTTCTAGCCTAATATGATACTGCCCTCAGAGGGGAAACTGAGACCAGAGAGACTGGAGACCTGCTAGAGGTCATGGCAAGTCAGGAGTGAAGCTGGGGTCCACCACTGAGGTCATCCTAGGGATCCTCAGAGTGGAGGTGCAGCCCCCCGCTGCCTGAAGGTCTGGTGAACTAAGGCAGTTTTTTCTCTAGGCTGAGTCTTCTGACATGACAGGGAAAGTTTGCACAGTCTTGAGTTGGAGTGCTTAGCCTAGTCCAGCCTAGTCTAGTCTCTGGCTGATCCACTCCATCCATCCACCTACCTGTCTGCTTATCTATACACTCATCCATCCATCCATCCATCCATCCATCCATTTATCCATTCACTCATCAACCCATCCACTCATCCATCCATTCACTCATCAACCCATCCACCCATCCATCCATCCATCCAGTCATCCAACCAATCAATTATCCATCCATCCATCTATCCATCCATCCATCCATCCATCCAAACACCCATGTACATGTCTACTCATTTACCCATCTGTGTAGCTATCCAGCCATCTGCTCATCCACCCTTCTACCTATCTCCAACTGTCTACCCTTCCACCTACTCATTCATCCTTCCATCCATTTAGCTACCTATTCATCTACCCGTCTACATCTACCCATGCATCCATTCATCCCATCCATCTACCCCCTTACCTACCTATCCATCCACTCATCCACTTACCCATCCATCCACCCACCCATACAAACACCAATATACTCATCTACCCATCCATCGAGGTATCCATCCATTTGGTCACCCACCTGTCTACCTATCCAACAATCCATCTACCTCCCCACCCACTCATTCATCCATTTATCCATTCACCTACCTAGTCATCCATCCATCTACTCAGCCATCCATTCACTGATCTGCCTATCCATCCATCTATCCGTCTACCCATCCGTCTACTCACCAACCCACTTACCCATCCCCTCATCCATCCATCCCCTCATCCATCTACCCACCTGTCCCCCATCCATCCATCTATCCATCTACCCACCCACCCACATGTCCATCCATCTACCCATCCATCCTCCCTTGCTCCTTCCATCTACCCATTATTGAGTGGTCTCCTGCTTAGTGCCAAACTCTGTCCTAGGTATATGCGTTACTTCTGCAACGAAGTAGAAGACAGAACAGTCTCAGTCCTCCCTCGTGTAGGTTGCAGCGTGATGAGAGTTAGTCATAATGAAGTGATCAGGCACAGAAATAAACTTACGAGCTGTAAGGATTGTTTAAGCAAGATTGTGAATGACAGGAGGTGCTGACTTTAGAGATGGGAAATCTTGGGGGAGGTGACATTTTAGCTGAGACCCGAAGAGTAAGAAGGAGCCGCTCACCTCCAGACTGTGGGCAAGAATATTTCAGGAGGAACAGCCAGTGCAGAGGTCTGAGGTGGGCAGGAGTTCGGTGCACTCCAGGGAAGGACAGGTGTCCAGTGGACACCTGCTGGAGTGCAGCGGGCAAAGGATCGAGTGAGTCCCCCTCACGGGCAGGGGCTTGGCTGCGGGGCCCTGTGGCTTGGGCCAGGTGTCTGGGGAGCTGGAAAGAGGGGTGAGCAGGGGTGTTGGTGACTAGACTGGACTGACAGGATGCTTTCCTTGCCAGCAAAGGCCACTTGAGTGCCATCTTGGCCATCAAGGGAAACCTATCGAGCAGTGAGGTCAAGAGCATCCGAAGCATCCTGGACGTCAGCACGGGGACACACGAGCCCTTCAAGTCCCTATTTTCGCTTATAAAAGTTGGTTAGCTTTTCCTGCCACCTGACCTGCTTGTGAGCACACAGTGAGCATCGGGCACCACCCCCCTTGGTGGGCAGCCACCCACTTGGGGGCTGTTCAGACCAGCCCCCGCTTCTTGGCTCCTCGACAGGCTTCCGGCCTACTGCTGCTGCTTCTGCCCAGCCTTGGCTAAGGCACAAACCCCTGGGCAGCTAGAATTGGATAAGTCCCGATTTGTTTACCGGTCCAGCTCGGGGCGGGACACCCAGTGTGGGGAGCTGCATGGAGCTGGGCTCAGCACGTCTATGGACTCGAAGGCAGAATTGGAAAGGCAAGGAGGCAAAAATGAACTCTTATCTGGGGCCTCGGCCTCCTGGGTCCTCCATGCACTGACAGGGGTGCCTCCATGGGTCCTCCTGGAAGTCAGCCTGAGGTCTGGACAGGGCAAGCCTGACCTCTGACCCCTTGGCCTCTGTATCAGTGTCCCTGTTGCTGCTGGAACATGTTTCCACAAACGTGGCAGTTTCAGTTGGAACTTATCCTTCGGTTCCGGAGGTTAGAAGTCTGACACAGGTCTCATGGGCTACAACCAAGATCCCAGCAGGGCGGGCTCCTTCTGGAGGCTCTGGAGGGAATTTCGTTGCTTTTCCCAGTTTTTAGAGGCTGCCTGAATATCGTGGCCCGTGGCTGCCTTCCATCTTGAAAGCCATCAGTGGCCAGTCAAACCTTTTTCACATCACAGACCTCAGACCTTCTCTCCTGCCTCCGCGCCTGTCTTCCAGCTTTAAGGACCCTTTTGATTACCTTTGGCCCACCTAGATAATCTGGGATCATCCCCATTTTAAGGTTAGCTGATTAGCAGCCATAATTCCTTAATATGTCAGGTCCCTTGGCCGTGGACCCTGACATAATCACAGCTCCAGGAGTCAGGACGTGGGCATCTCTGGGGTGGGGGGGGGGGGCCCGTTTTTCCCCCACCAGCCCCCTTACGCCCCCCCCCCCGGGGGGGCACCTTATCCTACCCCTCTGTCACCCCCCCCCCCCACCCCGGCCTCTG